TGTGTTATGTTTGTTCTAGACTACAAATTTTCAATGTGGAATAACGTAAGACATTAAAAAAAACTAACTCTATAATACTATGGTCCTTTCTAATACTAAAAAACTACCTAATTTGAGCACATTCAAAGTTAAAGGTAACATTTCAGACCTATTCTTCACCCATTCTTCATGTTTTGGACCAGTTTTTTGCGTTCCGGACTCACTTATTTACAAATATAATTAGAAATTTATGCAATTATAAGCAAATGAGTCAAAAACTCACCCACAAAATCTTCAAGTCATCGGAATTAGATGTCATATCTTATTTACCTACTTAATCTAAAATATGATGATGATATTTTAGAATGAATTCTGAAATAGTTTTTGTAATGGTTTGTATGGAAACCCCAATCGGAATGGGTTGGGCTTGATTTAATTCCAAAATAATCCACAAAATAGTTATGTTTCAAAAAAAAAAAAATCGAACATATTACTTAAAAAAACAATATATAAATATTTATATTACTCAATTTCCGTTTTATTTATCTGATATAATATACTTGGAAGAATAAACTTTGAACATTATAAAAAATTAGGAAATAATAAATATATGCCGACTGGTACACTCTCAGACCTTGAATTCCCCAAAAGAGGAGTGGTCCTTCCTTGTCGCCGTTATCATCCATCCCCTTCCGATCGAACCCAATTTTTTTTCACTCACAGAGCCAACAACCAGCGATCTAATGCTAATACAGGTGGGTTTGCTTTCCCTTTGCCTTTTGCATCTTCACGCAATCCAATCATCTAGGGTTCTTCCCTCAGTATACTTTATTTGCGAAATTGTGTTCAATTGCAGCTCTATGGGTTGTTTTAGCAGCTTTCGTTGATATATATGTCACATGATTAAATTTGTATGATTGGATCTGATGGAATTTTGAAATTTCGACATAGTTTAATCATGGTTTGGTGATAATATATGTTGTATCTTCGCTAAACTCGTGTAGAGTATTCGGTATTCGCACAAGTATAACTCATTTACTCGTTAAATTTTACTCTTTCGTGATTCTCAGTTCCACGGCCTGGTATTCAAATTGTACGAATGTTGAACTAAATAATTTATATGGGATTTTAAGTTGTGAAGTAGTTAGTTAGTTGATTCCTATTGTTGCTTCACATTAGAATAACTATCTCATTCATCTCAAACTAGTTAATGCTGGCTGAAACATTCTCATCATACGTTTATGAAGAAAAAATAAAACATTGAAAGGTCTGAAACATAGGTGATGTAAGAAGAAGGAAGAAAATGAAACATAGGTGTTTTTGGAAACAATTGGAATATAAAGGAATTGAAATCTTTCATGCTTTTGGTTGGAAGATTTTGTAAGGAGACTTTCATTCCTTTAGTAAAAGAATGCAATTCCTAGACATGCCAACCAAAACCCTCAAAGAACGGAATCTCACATTCCAATCTCTTCAGAATCTGCAAACTTTACAAAATCATAAGTCCATTGTGTAAAAAAGAAACATCTTATTTCTTGTTGGGTGATGATATCTGAGGTTTGTCTGATGAATCTTTATCTACAGGTACATCGTTGATGCTTCCAATAGTGAAAACAGCACTATAAAAGTGATGATATAGTTTGCAACATTTTGCTTGGTGAGGGAGAATATATATATAAATATATATATATAAATATATATATATATATATATATATATATAATATATATCTATATATATTTATATGGCAGATGGTATATCAAGTTTTTGGGGTCCAGTCACATCTTCACATGAATGGTGTGAGAAGAATTATGTATATTCTTCTTACATTGCTGAATTTTTCAACACAATCTCAAACATCCCATGCATTCTTTTGGCACTCATTGGTCTTCTAAGTTCATTGATTCAGCGTTTTGAGAAGAGATTTAGTGTTCTACACTTATCAAATATGGCTCTTGCTATTGGAAGCATGATGTATCATGCCACACTACAACATGTGTAAGTTAACTATTTTCAACATTCAGTTTCTTGCAAGTTTGTGTTTTCGTTAGGCTTTTTCTTTATGTAAAGGGTTAAATGCAATAGAAACATGGTTTTGTTTATTTGTGTAATATAACATTCTGCTTTCATTAATTCGTATCATAACATTGTACTTTTGAAAATCAACCAAATTGTAGTTGTGCCAGCACTTTTCACTGCTATAAGTGAGTAGATTTTTTAAAGTACAGTGTACTAATAAGAAAAAAGTTGAAAGTACAATGCTATAATTTGGTAGATTTTTATAAAGTACAATGTCAAAAACATATTGAAAGTAAAAGGCTGTGAAAGTAAGATGCTATAATAAACATATAAAGGGAAGTACAGTGGTATTTTTTGCATTGTTTAAAAAATGGTATCATTTTTCATGTCTCTAACTTGCTTTTTCCTTTTAGATAGCAGTTATAATGGTAGATTATTTTAATAGATAATGTAACAATTGGAGCTTGCTCGTTAGAATGGTATACCTTGTTTTCTTTGACTTGGTATTTGGTAATATAAATTTGTTATTGCAATAGTTACTTATACTTTTCAGGTTAAAAGACTCTATAGTCTTACACTTCAATTTCAGTTAGGAAAACTGAACTTTTGTAGTTCTGGATTTTTTTTTCACTCATTAAATATTATTATTTTTAATTGAAACAAATACATAGTACCTTTACGTTTAATCATTTAGTAACTATCTTGATTATGGTTTTCATGGTTTAAAGTTTAAACTTTTTTAGTCGACTTTATTTTTTAGTTGACTCTATATTTTTAGCTTTAAAATTTTGAACACTGGGTCAATACGTAAATTTAAGTTGGCAATTTAAAACATATACTTCCATAAGCTCTTGTTGGTTGCTTGGGCCCCACTTGTTACACAGGATAAGACAAGTTGTACTGTATTTGGTGTGCATTACACTTATTGGGATTAATGTCAATGGGATAGAAATTGCAATTTTTTGTCCCGCTCAAAAAGGTTCGACATACGAACATAGAGCAAGAGTATTTATATGAACTAAAAAACATAAAATTGATGGTACACTTGAATAACATAATTTTAAAGATATTAAAGTTTTAATCTTGCACAATTTAAAATCTTTATTAAATTCATTATACATTTCGATAACATAACTTTTTGTTTCAGTCAACAACAAAGCGACGAAACCCCAATGGTATGGGAAATGCTGCTCTACATCTACATCCTCTACTCCCCCGATTGGCACTACCGTAGCACCATGCCCACATTCCTCTTCCTCTACGGTGTCTCATTCGCAGTGCTCCATTCCATAATCCGTTTCGATATCGGTTTCAAACTCCATTACATACTCCTCTGTCTCCTCTGCATCCCCCGTGTCTACAAATACTACATCTACACGCAAAACACATCCGCAAAACGCCTCGCCAAATCCTATGTGGCGACCTTGTTTCTCGGGAGTTTGTGTTGGTTTGTTGACCGGTTTTTTTGCGGGCGGGTGTCCAAGTGGCCGGTCAACCCGCAAGGGCACGCGTTGTGGCATGTGTTCATGGGATTCAATGCGTATTTTGCGAATACGTTTTTGATGTTTTGTAGGGCCCAACAAAGGGAGTGGAGCCCCGAGGTTGTGAGGTTTTGTGGGGTTTTGCCGTATGTGAGGATTGAGAAGATCAAGGCGCAGTGACAGACCGTGGAAAATAGCAACGTACTTTGGTTTGATTTATTTGTTTTTTTTTTTTTTTTTTTTTTGGTTAAGATGGTTTGACAAGGGTAGGGTTTTGTGGGACTTTTTAGGTTGTGAAAGTGTACAATATATTATTCTATGGTTTTGTTGATGGTAGGATTAATTGCAAGAAATAGCAACGTATTTTCATTTATTTGTTTATTATAGCATGCTACTTTTCTTTCTATTAAAGATCATAGTTTCAATCTTTTTTTTCTTATTAATTTTGGAAATGATTTGGTTTTTGTTTAACATCGTTTTTTTATCATATATTGTGTAGTTTTGTTGTAAATACAAGTTAAAGGATTGTAGTTCTTTTGTATATTTAAAAAAAGCAGTTACCTTTCTTTAGCAAGTCAAAGTTCAAGTACGACTGAAAAGTGAAAAGTAAAGGGGACAAGGACTGAGTGTACAAGTATGAATGCACGATGTACAACAGTACAATCTACTTTAACTCAAAGCATTGAAATTTCACCTCCAAAGTAAGTGCCTTTTCTCTTCTTTCGTAGATAGTGGAAGCCCATAAATATATTTATAGATAGATCTATAACAACAAATATTCCCATACTCGTATTGCATGGGCAAAAATGGCACTAACAAATAACAAACACAAATATCATACGTATTAATTGAATTTGCAACAATAATTTACTAAACAAATATTACATTAAGGATAAATCATTATTAATTAAATAAAGTAATAAACACTCAACACCAAAATATACATATATTTTGGGGTAGGTTAGGCTTTAAGGGTAACGGTTTTTAGCTTTTTTTTTTTTTTTTTTTTAAGAATATATATAAAAAATTCGGCAATATGGAATTAAAACTTTTATTTTAAATAAAATTGTCATACTCCAAAAATAATTTAAAGTAGTTTTATAAAACTTTTACCTTTTACCTTTTACATTTTATAGAATTTCACACAAGCAAACAGTTTTTTTGAACAAACACTTCTAAACAAATAAAAATTACACCTTCAGCTATCTCCTCCCGGCTATGTGTTAGTTTTACAAACTCTTAATCTGGTTGGTTTTCAAGGGAAGGTTCTAACCAAATGTGAGGCCAACTTTGAGCGGATCTGCAATTATTCGATAAGTTACACTTCTAGTCCCTATAGTTTGTCAACTTTTATGAATATGGCCTCTAAAAAGTAATAATGTATATGGACAAAAAGCATGAGAAAACTATGATCGACCCGAATGTCAAAGCTGAAAGTACCGGATCATATTCGTAAATTAAAATACCATATAAACAGAAAACAATCCGCAATATCAATAACAACAATAACATAACTCATGAATCCTATTATTAACACATAATGTTGATTGGTATACCTCAAACAAAATACTATGAATCGTTGCATGTTTGCACTAGTTAAATTTGACCCATATACTTTTTTACGACATCAATGTTCAAACACAAACACGATTTCAAATTTTTTTACCCATATATGATGAAACTCATGACATTTAGCATTTTCCGCAAAATCAAAATGATTTTTTTAATTGTGGATTTAAAAGAAATAAACTAGAAAAAAAAAAACTAAGAATCGCTAGCCCATTTGCTAATAACAGACTCCTTTGCGGAAGTAGTAGCAACATATGATGTTTCTTGTTGAGGAGATCCATTTTTATTGATTTTCGATGTAATGTATCGCAATCCGTTTCGTGGGGCCCGTAAAAATGATAGCAACGGATTGAGTACAACCGCAAACAATACATCACCTTTTGCAAGTATCAGAGTCTGCAAATAAATGTAAACAAAAAACAAAATTCAAATATGAAGAAATAGCATATAATTATATATTATAGATAATGTAAAGAAATTGTAATATGAACATACATTTATTAATGCAAATGTGAAAGAATGGAATCTAATAAAGAGGTAAAGAATAACTTTTTTTTTACCATGACAGCTAGTACCAAGAGGGTAAGACTGACTTGCTGTGCTTCATGCCAGAAATGCTCACCATCTGACCCACCAAACCACCTGCCCCACCACCCTCCACCACCACCACCACCACCACTGCCGCCACCTGCCTCCTCCCTCTTCTTTATCTCCTTGTCCCACTTCTCAAACTCCATTTTCTTGCCACCAAGTGCACTTTCTAGTGCTTTCTTAGCCTGATCCTGCAACAAACGATGTACAAAAGTAAAATGTGAATTGACAAGAACTGAAGAAGGACAAATGAGTCATTTGACACATGTGGTATGTGTCTATCATTGGTCGTTATAGCCAGTGTCCAAACTGCGAATCTCTCTATCACCTTACACATTACTCCATGAATTTGATTGAACCTTTAAATAGCAACACAATAGCTTTCATAGCTTTTACTTTTGCAGAATCCTTGAGATGCATCTCTTTAGATGAATTTATGGAGCTTTTCCTTGACTTGAGTACATAATTCCCGATTTCCCGGTTTGTGGTTAATAATTTTTAAAAGAAAGTCCACCCAAGTTTTCTATCTAAAGTATATGCAAAAAAAAAATCTATAAATCCGACTTAGTGCAAACATTCTCATATACAGATTTTGTCGATGCATTTGAAAATCGTTCTATCGAAATTGGCATGAGGAGATAACGTTACTTTCAATTCAGAGTGATTTTACACCAATTAATCAAGTTCAAGCCAACTGAGCAGAAAAACAAGCAAATTGAACAATAATCACAACAGGTGTTGGCTTGTTGGGTAAAAAATGAAATTGGAACAAACGAAAGTGTATGCAGTATAATTGAAGGAATAAGCAAAACGTTTCAAGTGATAATACCTTGCTACGATTATCAGAGAATAGGCAATAGATTCTTCCATCAGATTTTAGGTCACGCTGTAGAGAATTCCAGCTATGGCTCGTCTCTTGACGGCGGCGGCGAGTCAAATTGATTGACTGAGCATCTGAGAGAGCAACACAATATCCAATTGCTAGGGATTTGGAAGAACTTGGGTGGCTTATACTTAGAATCTGCGCCATAGAGACGAAGGACACTTCAATCGAATTCTATGTTCTTAATACAGCTGCCTCATGACTAGTACTAGAGCTGGAAACACCATTGTTAGGAAGAGGTTTGAAACTTGCGGATACAATCAAATTAGGGCTTTTTATTTTATTTTATTTATTTTCATTTTTTTTTTTTTTTTTTAATTTCATCTTAACCCTATAAACTTTTTTCATTTATTTTAGAAATTCACCTTATTTTTATTTTACTCTAGGGAAACAAGTTGGGTTTGGTAGGATTTAAAAGTTCGCTTTTGATATTATGAAGGGGTAAATCGATTACCCTTCCATTGACGGAGCTTGAACATTTGAGTTGGAGGGATCGAAAGTAAAATATATATATAAATTGAAGAACAGAGGGGGCCGTAGTCAAATTATTTAGTTTTGGGTGTAATATGTAAAATCTTTAATAGTAATGGACTAGTTCAAAAAAAAAATCAGGAGGGGCCATAGCCCCCCCCCCCCCCCCCCCTTCGCCCTTAAGAAGATCTGTCCATGTACCCTTCGTCACCTTATTAAATGGTCATGTTCACTTGTGTTGCTGAGTATATGGTACAGGGGATTATCTTTTAATGTTAATTTACAAAATAAAAAAATAATAATAAAACCTAAGTGTATATCTCTTTCTCTCTCAATGGTGTCTCCTCATGTTCAAGACCTTACCATCATGTTCATCGTTTTTTTCTTATTTGCCAACAAGGACATCATGCTTCACCAGGATAGAAACCTAAAACAAGAAAACCAATTCCAATCTATTTTCTTCCTTGCATCTTGAATACTTTTTCCACTAAGCGAGAAGGGTCATCAATCGAACGAGCGCAAATCACTCCCCGTGGAAATTAAAAAAAGGGAAAATGAACCCAAAACCCAAAAACATAGACCAAGAAAACTAAATCCCTTCATTCTCTTCCTTGCATCTTGAATCGATGGTCTCTGTTGGGATGCAAAGTTCTTTGTGGAGGATGACAAAGAGAAGACTTGAAAGACCCATTTAGACATGTGGGTTTTATGCCTTATGACTTGTGTGTGCGTGAGAGAGAGAGAGAGAGAGAGAGACTTGTACATGCACATCTATAAATAGTGATTGACATATTCATTGTAGAGTGTGCTTGAGAGATATAATCAATAAGAGATATGAGTTGAGTTAATTATTTAGATTAGATCTAGTTCCTTTTTGTAACTCCTCATTATTATCGAATATATCTTTTAGCACCAAAATCATCGTGCCGATTGTGTTCTTACTATTCTGCATGTCAAATTCGGGTTTCATATCCTAACAATTGGTGTCATAGTCAAACCATTAAGATTCAAGCGATTATTTCATGGAACGATTCATGATTTGATAACAATTTGAATGATTTTAGTATGTCACTCGATTTTATGGAATCATGTTCTTATTGTCGATTTACTATTCATCGTATTTCTTTTGGATTGAATCTCAAAAAATCACTGTTCAAGCCCAAAATCAATCTAGTTGTTTGTGATCCTACTTTTATGTAACACTCTAAATTTTCAAATAAATTTTTTTATTTTTAAAACCACACAAAACACAGTTTCACATTTCTCAAACCCAAATTTATAAGTTGTTCAAAACACAAGACAACAAAATGTTTGACAATATCCCAGAATCCTCAAAACATAATCTCAAGCTGGTGTGTACAATCATGTCGGCGCCTACCCGCGATCTTGAGAGGTACCCGAAACACATTTCACACAACATTGTAAGCACGAAGCTTAGTGAGTTCCCCATAATACCATACACAAATAATTAGCCTCTCATAGCTATATCTCGATAAAAACCCTCCGGTCATGTGTCTCGGTGAAGACCCTCCGGTCTCACAACTCGGGTTGGACCCTCCAGTTCGGTATCTCAGTGAGGACCCTCCGGTCTCATAACTCGTTTTGGACCCTCCGATCCTAACTCAATGAGGCACAGAATAATATACAGCATAAATCACAAAGACAAAATGCATGACATCACATAACTCAGTATAAACACATAAGACCCTCCGGTCAATAACTCAAATAAGACCCTCCGGTCACACAGTATTACCACTTAGGTAAGTATAGTGAGAAGACTCACCTCATAAGTAAGCAAGTAGGTCTCGTACTCAACGATCGGTCTAGACTCCGCCTACATATCATAATCATCTCTAATTACCAATTTATAAAAACAATTCCAAAGATGTTAAGCTAACCCTTTTAGTAACTCTCGGAAAGGGTGAAAGACCATTTTACTCCTCCATGGTCTCCAAAGTCCACAACTTGACCAAACCCTAATAGTCAACGGAAGTCAACGCTCAAGTCAACAGTCCATGTTGACCCAACTCGTCGAGTGCATCTATGCGACTCGTCGAGTTACTTCGTTTCTCTGAAATATCGGGAAAATTCAACTCAACTCGCCGAGTTGTCTCACCAACTCGCCGAGTTTGTAACGCGTCCAAACTATCTGGGGAAAACCCTAACTAAATCGTCGAGTTGGCTCACCAATCGTCGAGTTCCTTCAATCCATTCTCTCATTCAGACGTCTTTAAGCAAGACTCAGGCCCAAAACTCTAGATCTAGCCTCCTAAGGCTGAAATACCACGTAAAAGCTGCAAGCTTTACGTCCATGCATGGCATCTAGGGCTAAGTTTGCTAACCAAGTCTCAACAAAGGGTTTAAGGTATGGAAGTTGGCCAAAACTGGATAAAGCTCGAGTCTTTAGGCCTAAAGGGCCTAATAATGTCCATATTTGAAGTCTTAGCTTCAAGGTAAGCTCAAAGCCAATAAGGACCCAAGGGAAATGATAAAAATGGCCATAACTCTCTAATGGAGAGATCTAACAAACAAGTGATCAAGTTAGTGGCTTTTTACCTCCAAATAGCCACTAACACTGAAAGAATGCCGAATCCAAGGACTCATTCTTGTTCCAAGCCTTTTTCTCCTCAAGCTCCTTCAAAGAATGCACCCAAAGCACACTCTTAGCCTCCCTCTCTCTCACAGATGATAATAGCTCGATTAGGGTTTCTCTCAAGGTGTTAAGGTGATGAGGGAGGCGGGGTAAAGGACTTAAGGTCCTTTAAATAGGGTGAAAACCCTGAAAATTAGGGTTTCTCGCTCAGCTCCTACTCATCGAGTTGGGTCTTCCAACTCGTCGAGTTGACTCTAAACCCGCACGGCTATCTAAATTTCTACTCGACGAGTTGGGGCTTCCAACTCGTCGAGTTGCCCTGTCAAAATGAATATAAATTAGTTCAATTTTATACCTGGGAGTCGGGATGTTACAATTCTCCCCCACTAGAATCAGACTTCGCCCTCGAAGTCATTCTCCGGAAACAGCTCTGGGTACTGCTCATGCATCTCGGACTCCGGCTCCCAAGTCCACTCGGATCCCTTCTGATGCTGCCACTGAACCTGAACCAATGGCACCTCTTTATTCCTCAAGACCTTCACCTTCTTATCCAAAATCGCCACCGGATTTTCAATATAGTTCAAGCGATCATCAACCTGAATGTCCTCTAAAGGGACCACTGTCGTCTCGTCGGCTACACACTTCCTCAGTTGGGACACATGGAAGGTGTTATGGATCTGGCTCAACTCTGCAGGCAGCTCTAACTGATAAGCCACCTTACCTACTCGAGCAATCACTCTGAAAGGACCAATGTATCTAGGGCCCAGCTTGCCCCACTTCCTAAATCAGATCACCCCTTTCCATGGGGATACTTTCAGGAGGACAAAGTCATCGAACTGGAATTCTAGCTCGGAACGTCTCCGGTCTGTGTAACTCTTCTGACGACTCTGGGCCGTCAGTAACCTCTATCTGACCTGCTGGATTTTCTCTGTCGTCTTGAGCACTATTTTCGTGCTCCCCATCACTCTCTGCCCGACCTCTCCCCAAAAGATGGGAGTCCGGCACCTCCTCCCGTACAAAAGCTCAAAGGGAGGCATCCCAATACTGGAGTGGTGGTTGTTGTTGTATGAAAACTCAGCCAAGGGAAGGTAGGTGTCCCACCGAAGTCCATAACACATGCGTGTAGCATGTCCTCGAGCGTCTGAATCGTCCGTTTGCACTGCCCGTCTGTCTGTGGGTGGTATGCGGTGCTGAAATGTAGGCGGGTGCCCAACTCATCATGAAATTTCTTCCAGAACCTGGAAGTAAAACGCACATCACAATCTGACACTATTGTCACACCCCCGAACCAGGGCGGCGGAAACGTCCGGAGGCGGATGACGTCATTGCATAGTATCACAATAGTTGTATATAAATGAAACATAGCAACCCGAACATCATACATTAAGAATACAAACTTACATAGTTTACATACTGTATTTGTTCAAAAGTTACACAACAAAGACGGAAAAGTGAAACTCCATAATGCAACAATTCTTGTTCTCAAAGATTTAGATACCTGATTATTGGTTCCCTGAGAATACAAGTGATTTTGAAAAGCGTCAACAATAATGTTGGTGAGTTCATAAGCCTTTTTGTATGAAAAAGGGTTTGTAACTGCTTTGTTTAAAAATAGTTTTGTATGCTTCCATAAAATCCGATATTTTCTATAAAATAGGATGTAGTCTAATAACCAAGACTAAAAAAATGTATGAATGTCCTTTGTATCTTTATCCTTGTAGAATGAATAAGTATGTATGTTTCCAGAAAATCTGATATTCTCTTATGTATGAACTGTAGTCTTAAACCCTAAGACCAGAAATGTAAGCAATAGTGTACTGAAAAGTAGTATATAGTTATATATTTTAATAAAACTAATGAAGCATGAGCTTCCCGTAAACCAAGATAGTATTGTTAATCCCTATGTGAGTTATTATAACCATGCTTGATGTGACTGTTATGCTTGTACGACGTTCTTCAGGCGTCGGAATTGGTAGATATTTGTCACCCTAGACTGGCTCGTCTAGCTGTAGCGAACAACTTAGGTGTGGGGTTGTCAATCCCGTATAGATCTATACACAACTATATCACTCTCCCTCCAGGAGACTCTGGTTATAGGAGACTCTGGCCCCAATGGTATGATTGAAGAAGAACCCAATGGTATGATTGAAGAAGAACCCGTCGTCTAGCTGTAGCAAGAACTCGACGG